AGCCCAGCAGTTGAGATCTTGAAGGTACCATAAGTCAAAGCTTCTTTTTGAAATCCTGATACTTCTCTCATCTTTTCACTCTGTTAAAACAGGAAACTGGTTTCTATTATCACTCTTCTAGGGCCTGGCTCTTGGTCTGCAATTCAGTAAATATCCCTAAGGTGAAAGCTGACCGCTGGGTCCAACAGCATTTCCACAGAGGACTACTGAACTCTGAAACTCCACCATTAGGGCTGACATCTCTGCTGGAGGCTTTGCAGACACACCGATTGGAATGAAATACCATCTGACCCAGCTAGTGTTGCTTAAAGTGCAGCTTCTCCTGCCAATTACTCATACCAGAGACGTGAGGAGAGCCATACAGGCCCTGTGAATGGTTTATGGGGATGAGAGAGAAAAGAGGTTAAAAACCTGATTAGATGCCTTACTATAAAATCCCAGAAAAAAGGAGCACTACCAGGAATATGGTTTATCCCTCCAGGAATTCCGGCCAGCCGGGCAGGAATTAACCTTGACCACAATTAAGCCATTTATGACCCTTTCAGGGAAGGTCCAGAGACCTCAACTTTGTTTAGAGAACTTGTGGGGGTGGAACTTCCTGTTTGCACAGAAGGGAGCATAAAGCCCAGCTGCAGGGGAAGAGTGGGACCAGACAGAGTGCAGGGAGTGAGGGAGAGGGCAGGTCCTGCAGCATGGGGAGCAACAGACTCCTCCGTCCTAATCTTGCTCTCCTCCTCCTCCTCCTGGTTCTCCTGCCCACAGACGCCACCACCTCTGGAAATCCGTAAGTCCCACACCAGGCATGGAGCCTGAACCTAAAGAGTCTTTTCTCATACTTCAGCGTCTTTTACATAATTCATTTGCCTTGCCTATGAAATTGTCACCTTCATATTTCTAAAGTTGTTTCCATTCATGAGATTTGGTAAATGTAGTTTACTCTTTCCTCATTCAGTCATAAGGATTTTGCTCAAACTCTTTGTATTTCTGTATCCCTAAATTTCAAATTTTGTTGGTGACATGCAAAACCTTTCTCAGGGGCATCACAAATAGATACTTCTTTTAAATGAATTAATTTTCAGATCCTCATGTTTCTTTGGATCTAATGAGATTGCTCTGTTTGTCTTTCTTCGCCTTCTCTTTTACTTGTTCATACTCTATTTTGTAAAATGGAGCCAAACTTCTCCTTCAACTAGATCTTACCATGACATATTACCTTGAAATTAAATAATTACTAGTGTACCAAATTAAAAAAAAAAATTGGAATGTTGGTGTTGAGAAAATAAAGAACTGAAATGAGAGAGGAGAAAATCTTTATCAGATAAGGTAGTGATAAGTTGTTCAAATAAAAATAAAGAAAGAGTTAAAGGACATATCAGCTGACAGATGCCTATCAGCAATTCTTGATAACACAATACCAAGTGCTATGCAGCATGTAAGCAAAAAGTCGTAACAAGAGCTGTGGACAGAGCTCAGTGGCACAGAACCTGCCTGGCAAGCTCATGGTCCTGAGCTCATGCCCATTAAAAAAAACAGTGGTGACAGGAACACATTTCTACCATACATCTTTTATGGAAACTATTCTTATCATTTATATGCAAAACTTAACAGTTGTGACAAAGTTAATGTTGGGCTTTGTTTAATTCTTGCAATAATTACTATCCATCCTGGTACAGATAAACTCACTGGAGAAGAAAACAGACTGCCAGTTCATTAAATATGTGCTTTAAGAGTATTTTAATTTTACACCTAGTATGTATGGGTTACATATATTTATTTTGTTTTGATCAGCAGTATAACAGTGATTTTGAAAACAAGTTAATCATAAAAATATTTGATATTTATAAATTTATAGTCATATTATATTTTAAAGAATGCTAAATTTATATCTCCAAGTATAATATTACACATATATATGTAGATAGAGATTTGTTAATAAAAAGATTGCTTCATAAGAGTGTAAAGTATACAAAACAAAAGAGAAATTTCTATTTAGTAAGTGGCATGGAAATTCAAATTCAAGGAGGAAAAGGGAGAAAGATGTTAAATCTCTGATCATTTCAAAATAATTTTTGATGAGTTTTTGAATAGGTACTACTCTTATCTCTATTATGTTTAAGATTCTATGGGATAATTACTAAGTAAAGTGTATTAAACTAAAATATATATTCTGCTATTATTTAAAATTGTGGAAAAATATATGTTTCCTTGAAAATAAGAGGTTTACAGTGTCAAACCATTAATTATTTTTAAAGTTCTATGCAAAAATGTTTGAAAATTTCAGGGCCAACTTTAATTATGTGTCAGGGTATTGAGAAATTTTCTGTCCTGCTCATAAGTTACCAAGACCCAAACTCAATCACAAGAGGGCAATTTTGGTGAAACTTTTCTCTGGCCATGAGTTGAAAAGCAAATATTTAAAATGCAAACATCTATGGTTAGGTAACACGCAGACTTTGTTAGCCACTAAGCACAACTGAGACTAAACTGATGGCTCACTTTTCTCTAGCTTCTGATTCCGTATTTATAAAGAAGAAGCAAGTGGTAGCTCTATAATTTGCACAGGTTGTTGAACGCACACATATGTTTAATAACAGTTCTATAATTTAATATTTATGGTACCCACATGCCTAAGACTTTTCTTGCTTTTTACTGTAATCCTAAAGTATAATAGACTTAGAATGTAAATGAATATAATTAACATATTTTATTCTAATTCAGATGCTCCCATATTGTGGATCCTTAAGTGAGCCCCCTGTTCACTGCCAAGGCATGTGACAGAAAGGGGAAGTGACTCTCACATATGCCACTTGACAGCAGTTTCCTCCACATCAGTGTGACTTCTCCTGCTGTAGCAACTGTGGAGTGTCTTGTGGTCGATAGCAATGTCTCCCTTCTTTATCTCTCCTCTAACTGGATTCCCCCGTTCTCAGACAATATATGGTGTTGGTCCCCTCCTTGCTCCATGCTGGGAGTCCTGAAAAGGCATGCCTCCTTCTGACTCAACTGAATGAGACAGTGACAGTAAAGGCTTCCTTGGAGTCTAACAGGGAAAACAGAAGTCTCTTCAATGATGTGGTGGCAGAGACGGACTTATTCCAATGTGTTGCCTTCACTGTGAGTACAATTCTTACCAACTTTCTCAAGACTTACCTTGACATTTCTAAATCCCAAGAATCTAAATGTAGCAACTAAGTGCAGAAAGTAAACAGCAGCACAAATGCTTCCATCCAAGAGAGACAAATATTTATTGAAAATTAACCTGAAGAACAAAGAAAAATTCCGTCAGTCTGAAAAAAAAAGCAATAGACACAATGAAAATATGACTTCTCCTTTAAAAAAA